GCGCGGTGAGGCGGCGGCGGGCGGGTCCGGGCGCTCGGAACTTTCCCCGGGCGGCTCGTGCGGGCCGGGCCGGGCCGGACCGGACCGGGCACGGCGCTTCTCAGGGGCGGCGGCGAGCTGCGTGCCCAGGCGCCGGGCCGCCGTGGGCCGAGACGGCAGGGGGTTCCGCTCCGGGCTGCCGCTGTCGGGAGTGCGGGCTCGGAGCTCCCCTTTGTCGCTTCCTTGGCCGTGTTTACGGGCCCAGGCGCGCGGCGGGCACGGTGCGTTCCTCGGAGCGTCCGGGTTTGAGGCCTCTTCCTACAATTGTTCCCGGTTGCTTTGGGCCCCGTGCAGAAGTAGCGGCGCGAGGGTGCAGCTCAGAGCCCGCTTAAGCCAGCACGCTGTGATCCGTATTTGCCACGGAAGGAAAAAGTTGGTGCGTTTGTTCGTTTTCCTGCAGTCCCTCGGTGATGTGCTGCTCGCGTTAAAGCTAGGAGATATTCTGGGTTGTTTTTTTTTTTTTTTTCCTTTTTCCCCTTTTTAAAACTAAAATTTAATTATTGTATAAGTCACCATGAAGGTGCACGTGATTTGTTTAAAACCTACATGCTGCCTTATGGGAATGGTGTGATTTCATTTGTTTGGTGAGTCAAAGAGTCAACGGCATGACCTGGCCCATGCAGTTTCAGTGGGGCAGGTAACAGCGCTTAGGGAAGCAGTTTAAGTGTCGACCACAGGTGAAATCTGATTAGCATCAAAACATTGGTGAGTTTTTTTGTGTGTGTGGTTTGCAACCTACCTATCAGAAGCTTCAACACAAGGCCGGTGTTTTCCTTCCAGCAGTGCAGCTCATCTCCAGGAAGCATCTCTTCCTTTTCAGTGCTAGAGTGCATGAAATCATACGGTGTCAGAGGAAGTGTCACATCCTGAGCTCACACCTTAGCATCTCGACTTGGAAATGATAGATTTTTACCACTTAAAACGCTGTGTGCCTGTAGTTAATACCCACTCCCTAGTACCTGTTGATGTGGCATGAGCCTTTAACTGGAGAGGAAAAAGGCCAGGAATTACTGTGAGATCCAGAGTGAGCACGGCACCTGCTTTGGTGTCAGAAGTCCTGAGCAGTGACAGCCCAGCTGAGCTGTAAGAACGGCACGATGCCCCTGGCACCGTGTCTCACTGGGATCCTGTCTGTCACTGACTCACTGTTGTAAGAGCATTATATTTTACAATTAGCTTCGTGGCTGTCTTGTGACATGGGAAGCTATTGACTCAGCCAGGTAGCGCTGGCTGGGCTGAAGTCTGCTTGAATGCTTATCTTGATGGCAGCGTGGCACAGGTGGTGTTAGGGGTTTTCTTTGTCAGGCTGAGAAAGTGCCTTAAGACGGGTGGAGATTGTGTCTGGAGTTTGTATGTATGCAATAGCATGCTGCTGAATGTTTCTAGGCGCTGATAGTGTTGATCTTTCAAGTTAATTGCATTCTCTTAGATTGACTCGGGGTTCTGAAACCTCCCTACCTTCCATAGGCTTTAAAACCTGCGTACAGATAGAGAAGTGTTGAAAAGCAGCGCTGCAATGTAGAATTGGTGCTTCTTTAGAGGGTCTGTATTTATACAAATAAAGGAGACTAAGCAGAAGTGCCAGCTGAGTAACACTTTGTGACAATATGTCTTTGAGAGATAATTGTGTTCTTTGGGTTTTATCAAGTGCAGACAAATGTGTATTCCTGGGGGGGTGTGACAGTATTAAGAGAACTCCACCTCTTGGAATTTCTTGATTGCTTTTCAGAAACGTTTATGCAGGAGGGAATGGTATCCATTTTGCATTCTATGGTGGAAGTTAATGAGTTTGTTTCTTAGTAATTAACTGATAGTAGTCAAGAGAGGCTTTACTGTTGTGCTGTACTTTGCTACGCTTTTCAGCTTTTTTAAAGGCGCTTTTGTGAATGCTGAAATTACTGACCAATGTCCTCGCTTCTGAATCCGCTCTGGACTATTTGAGTTGTTCCAGAACTGTCAATGAATAGTTTGCAGCCTTGATATCTGTGGAAAATATTTCTGCAGGCTTTGATAGTCTCTGCTGTGCGCTCAGAGGCTCGAGGCAGGGGCAGGAAGGCGTTGGCATGACCTTCTGAATTCCCTCCTGGCCCTGCTTTTCTGTAATTCTGACACTTTCTGATACGGTTTAATTACAAGAGCAGCTATTAAAATATGATTACCACGGTCTAATTGGAGACATCTTGCAGCTTTCTATCAAAAATAAGGTTTGAGTCATCTGCTTCTTCAAAATTAATAGTGCCACAGTAGCCACCTCCCCCCATCCGAGTGTGAGCACACAGGTCAAATTAGAAGATGATGCTGTCCTCAATTATTTTAGAAGACTTATGGAGGCTTTTATATGCATGCTTCACTGGTGCCTATGGCTTAAGCTGGTGTCATATGAGTTTGGTCTTTCTTTAGCCTGAGCAGATTTTCATGCTTTTGCTGTTTTATTTTACAGCAAAATGGCCCGTGCGTTTGTCCCTGTATAAAGACTCCTCATCAAGAGTTGAGTTGAGGATTGACCCAAACTGGAAACAGCCAAAATGCTGTGTGTGCACAGTAAGAGCTGTGCTCCTTCCTCAGCAGCCTTCATGTGCTGTCTTTCTCAGGCAGCATTAATTTAGAAATAGAAAGTGCATTTCTCAGCTTTAAATAAACAGCAGCAATTTGGTTTTTAAGTCCCTTGTTAGGAGAATTTTAGCTGATATTTCTTAGAGTCAGAAGAGACGCTTTAAACATTCCTCACTGTGGATTTCAAGTATGCTGGAATGAAGCAAACTGTAAGGCCACCCAGGGGAGCACAGAATTGTAAGGGATATCACAGAATGTTGTAGCCAAGCTTTCTGTTCTTTAGGATTCTGCTCCTGATGAAATCCCTGGCTCGTGTCTGAAGGTCCGTTTGCTTTGTCATTCCTCCTTTCCCTTCAAACACTTGGAGAATTCCTCACTGAGAAGTGAAATGTGTCTAAGGTGAAATACATCTGAAGGCAGTTGAGAAATGGTGAAGCTATAATTAGTGTGGGACAGTATGTTTCACTGAGTTCAGAAACATCCTTCAGTGAAGTTATTGAGCAGTTACTGCTTTGATTTTGAAAGGCTCAGGTATAATCCAACTTCTCACCTAAAAATGGCTGCATTGGTGACAAATTCCCATGGGCTGCTTTAGCTGGGGCCCTTGGGCACGTGTTCATTCTTAGGTACCTGACTTCCCAGCATCCTACTCAGGAAATTGCTTAAAGAATCTGCAGGCCTTGACTTCCCAGTAGAATCGTGCATGGTGCTATCCTGATGCCTGAGCACTGCTGGCAGCTTGTGCTGCTGTTGTACAACTGGGGCAAAAGGTATTTCTCTCATTGTGCTTTGCTTCCATTGCTACGTGTAAAACATGCGTGTCAGTGTTTCAGGAGATCATAGTTCTTGTAGTATATGTCAGAAGATTTATTTTGGTTGATGTGTTTTGTGTTGGAATTACCCACAGTATAGCAATTTGACCTTATCTATTGGCAAAGGAAAAGCAGAAGAAAAGCTTGTTTGCAAAGAAATATGATTTTAGGAAGGAAAACCTGGCAGCTTTTATTCTGTGGAAGCTTTTGGGGTGCTGCCATGCAGTGAAGGTAACGTAAGCACTGGGAAGTGTCTCCCACACGATTTGTGAATGCATCACTCTTCTAACCTGTAACACCTGCTGCTCGAGTCCTCAGTTTCTGCTCAGCAAAGGTTGGCAGTGAGGGAGGAACTTTGCAGGGGGATTTAAAGAGAGGTCTTGTCATGGAGGGCTGGGACCCTTTCTTTGGAGGGCTTTGTTCAGTATCTTGTTAGAAACATGTTGAGGAAGTTAAGCTCATCTCTCAAAAGTTGACTGAGAAAATCAGAACTTCGATTTGCCTCACTTCTGATACGGTACCAAAAGTTTGATTCATTGGTTTTCAGTTTTTTCAGCAGGACCTTTCGTTCAAGTTGTGCACAGGAGCGCACTCAGAGAATGGCATTTTAGTGTGTGATGTTGTGTGCCAGGTTGTCTGCTAGAGCTCCTGAGTGCTTTCACAGCTGCTTTCCCAATGGCTTCCATTCACGGTGGGTTACCTTGTAACCCGGTGTATCTGACAGGTGCTGTGAGGTGGGTGTGCAGCTGGTGACTTTCTGCACTGCGTTGACAGGACAAGGGAGAGCAGTTTTAGACTGAAGGGGGGTGATGTAGATTAAATGTTAGGGGAACTTTTTCACAGAGAGGGTGGTGAGGTGCCGCCACAGGCTGTCCAGAGAAGCCAGGGGTGTTCTGCCCCTGGAGGTGCTCCAGGCCACCTTGGGTGAGACCCCGGACAGCCTGAACTGGAGACCCAGCCCACAGCCGGGGTGGGAACTGGATGGTCTTTGAGGTCCCCTCCAACACAGCCGTTTTAGGATTACAGGTTTCCCCTGTGGCCAAGTGAGATGGGCTTTCTCTGTGGATAACATGGCTAAGAGTCAACAGCGAAGGAACCTTCTTGAAAATACTGAGTTTTCTGAACAAGTGTTGTTCTGCACACGGTCATATAGGCTTGTAATCTCTAAGAAAAGCAGTATATTGACTCATCAGTATTGACTAATATGTTTCCGTTTTACATCTCTAATTGACATTGAGCAATGTTTAAGCTCTGCTCACGCAGCAGCAGGGTGGAGCTGGAGTAAACAGCGTTCTGCTGGGAGCTGCCTCCATTCACAGGGCACTGGCATGGCTGTGCCATCCTGCTCTGCGACACACACCCACATGTCACAGCAAGGGATCAGCATCCCTGGATCCAAGAAAGCCTCTTTATTGCAGGGATCCAAAAGAGTCACAAGAGCTGTGTAGCCACAGCGCAGGGTCAGACGGTTGGGAGGGTGACAAACCTATGAGCGTATTGAAGTTTTGAATTCTGTGAAAGACTTTTTGTCTGCTTTCTTCTTTCTTCACTTAGAAAAACATGTTGATGTGTTTATTCCTTCATGCCTGTGTGTATCTGCTTTTATCTAGCTTAAAGGAAAAGGAGTTCTCTTTACTTTCCTTCTTGCTGGGAACTTCTGTGTACATGTGTGTGCACATATGGATGAACAAAAAACATAGCAGCCATATAAGCGTGGATTTATGATGCATCTCCAACAGAACATCATATTTTCCCTTTGGCACTGACTGCACAAGGCTACTTGCTTGCTGTAGGAACTGCACTGCTTTGCTGCATTTGAGTCCTTAGATTAAATGTGAAGATGAGTTGTGCCCTCACTGGTATTGGCGGGGCATCCTTGGTGTATTTTCCAAGGCTGAGAACTTAACTGTGGCAAATCTGGGAAGAAATTTCAAATCTGTGTTTCAGAATGAGCTCTTTAATGAATGAGGAGAAGGGCTGTTAGCCATGAACACAGAACTTTGAATTTCTCTGTGTTACTTTTAACTGTCAGAAATCATTACAAGCAGTTGTCAGCAATCCTTACACACAAGTCTTAGCGCAGCAGAAGTTACTGCAACTTATCTCTAACTGGGAGCATTGTGGAATTGTACTTCCAGGATTTATGTCAAAACAGAAAATCTGGCTTTCCGTGAGGTCTGCAGGTTAGCTAGCCAAATTAAACAATCAAAGCTGTTGAATAATTTGAGAGTTTACCAAGGCTGTGAATTCTGATAGCTGCATCGTTTTTGTTTCTCGAGGCTCTTGTTGTAGAACCTGGTTTCCTTGGCTAAACTTCTGGAGACGATAACCTCTGTTGGGTTTGTCTTGGTGGTTTTCTACAGTGACTGCATTAGAGAAAGGCTGGGAGCTTGTATTTTAAAAATTGTGAAACAATGCTAGTTCCTTTCTCCAGCCCAGCTCTTGGAGGCAGATCAGATAACTGAACTCTGTCCCTCAGTGATGATTCAGGTGTGGTAGGTGGGTTGGCATTTCGCTGTGTTAGTTGGGCTGGTATTAGTTGCTTCCTGACTTCCTACCTGCTATCTGTGGTAGCTGTCAGACACTTTTGATTTGCAAACCTCCGAATGCTTTGCAGGAGAGATACTGACTCCTGGATAGAAAATACCAGCTATTTCTAGGGTTGGTCTTAGTTGCCTCTGGTGCCTTGTGAGTAATCAGAATGACTTGATTAAGTTGCCATGAAAAGAGCCTGGGCAGATCTTTGGGAGCAGTC